GGGAAAAATCAAACGAACCATCAAAAAATTGAAAAATTAAAATATGGGAAAACTGAAAAAAAAATTTTGAAAATCCAAAATTTGAAAAACCGAAATATCGGAGAACTGAGAAATCGAAAAATCGAGAAATCGAAAATTCAAAATTAGAAAAATGGAAATATTGAAAAATCGGAAATTGAAAAATTGCAAAACTGAAATGACGAAGAATTGGGAAATTGAGAATTGAAAAATCTAAACATCGAAAAACTCGAGAGATCGGGGAAAAATTGAAAAACCAAAATATCTGAAGCCGAGAGGTCGAAAAATCGAAAAACTGATACATTTGAAATAGATACAAAAATTGTAAAAACCGAACATGTCGAAAAATCAAGCAAAACATCACAAAATCGAAAAGTGAAAAAATCGGAACATTGAAAAAAAATTAAACTTCAAAAATCAAAAAGCTGAAAAATAGAAATGTGGAGAACTGAAAAATCGAAAAATCGAGAAATCGAAAAATGTATAATTAAAAATTGAAAAATTTAAATATCCAGTAATCGAGAACACTTTCAACTCGAAAATTCGATGAACTGGAGAACTGAAAAATTCAAAACCTAAAATTTAAAAATCAAAAAATTATTTATGAAAAAATGAAAAATTGAAATATTCAAAAATCAATTTATCCAGAACGAACTATCGGAAAACTGAATTAGAAGATCGATAAATCGGGAAATTGAGAAACTAAGAAGTTTTAAAAATCGAGATGAGAAGGCGAAAAATCAAACTATCAAAAAACCGAAAAATTAAAATATGGGAAAACTGAAAAAAAAATTCAAAAAATCAAAAATTTGAAAAACCGAAACATCGGAGAACTGATAAATGTACAAATTGAAAGATTTATAATTTCAAAAAATGAAAAATTGAAAATCGAGAAATCAAAACAAAAAATCGAAAAATTGAAATTTTAAAAAATCTGAAATTTAAGAAGACGTAATTAAAAAATCAGAAATCTGAAAAATTTAAAAATTAAAAAAATGAAAAATCGAAATAATGCTAACTCGGAATATCGACAATTTGATAAATTGAGAGGTAAAAAAATTTTAAAAACCGAACTGAAGTCGAAAAATCAAGCAAAGCATAAAAAAATCCAAAAATTGAAAAATTCAAAAACTTAAAATTCAAAAATCAAAAAATTAGATTATAAAAAATTGAATTATGAAAAATAAATTTATGGAGAAATCGAACTATCGAAAAATTGAAACATCAGAATATCGATAAATCGGGAAACTGAAAATTAAGAAATAGAAATAGGCAAGAATCTAAAGATCATAAAGTTAAAAAATGAAAAATTCAAAAACCTAAAATTCAAAAATCAAAAAATAACATTACAAAAAATTGAAAACCGAAAAAGTGAGAAATCGAAAAGTCAAAATACTGAAAAATCGGAAAGATGGAGAAATCGAAAGGTCAAGAAGTTAAACCATTGGAAAATTAAAAAATCAAAATAGGCCAAAATCGAAAAATCGGAAAATTGAGAAAAACAATTCAATTTAAAAAATCGAAAAACTTAAAATTTAAAAATCACAAAACCCATATTATGAAAAATTGAAAATCGATAAAGTAAAGTTTAGAAATAGAGAAATCGAAAAATCAAAATACTAAAAAATCGAAAAATTGAAAAATTACAAAACTGAAATTACGAAAAATTGGGAAATCGAAGAATTGAAAAATCGCAACCTCGAAAAGCTCGTAAAATCACAAAACCGAAAAATCCAAAAATAAAAAAAGGGAAATCCAAACAACAAACGACCGAGAAGTCGAAAAATCGCAAAATTAAGAAATCCAATTAAGCCAAAATCTAAAAATCGAAAAGTTGAACATTGAAAAATTTAAAATAAAGAAAAATCGATAAGTAAATCGATATGTAAAAAAAATGAAAATCGAAAAATTGACAAATAGAAATATCGAAGAACTGAAATCGAAAAATCTCGTAATCGAAAAACCTAAAATTTAAGAAAATGAAAAGCTGAAAAATGTACAAATTAAAAAGTTGTAATTGAAAAATCGAAAAACTGAGGAACTGAAAAACTGAGAAAACGAAAACATTGAAAAATCAAAAAATCAATTAATATAGAAATTGGAAATTCTAAAAATTGAAAATTTGTGAGTGTAAAAATTGAAAAATCCTAAAACTGAAACATCGAAATTTTAAATTCACAGAAAATTATTGTATATAGTCTTGGATCAAAATTTTATTTAGGAATTTTCGGTTTGATAGTATATATAATTTATTGAGAAATTGAACTATAGAAATATTGAAACATCAGAATATCGATAAATCGGGAAACTGAGAAATCAAGAAATTTTAAAAATCGAACTGAGAATTTAAAAAATCAAACAAACCATCAAAAAATCGAAAAATTAAAATATATAGAAGCTAATTAAAAAAAAATTAAATTTAAAAATCGTGAAATCGAAAAACAGAAATATCGGAGAACTGAAAACCGGAAAAATCGAGAAATCTAAAAATCTAAATTTTAAGAAAATTAATATAAGTATCAAGAAAACGAAAAGTTAAAAAATCGAAAAACTGAAGATTCGAGATTTCGAAACAAAAAATCGAAACACTGAAAAATTCAAAAAGCTAAAATTCGAAAATCAAAAAATCATGGTATGAAAATTTGAAAACTGAAAAAGTAAAAAATCGACAAATCGTAAATTCAAAATTAGGAAAATCACTATACTGAAAAATCGGTAAATTGAAAAATTACTAAACTGAATGAACAACTGGAAAATCGAAGAATTAAAAAATCGAAAGATCTAGAAATTGAAAAGTCGGGAAGTCGAAAAATCGGAAAATTAAGAAATCGAAATAGGCAAGAATCTAAAAATCATAAAGTTAAAAATTGAAAAATTCAAAAACCTAAAATTCAAAAATCAAAAAATTATATTACAAAAAATTGAAAACCGAAAAAGTAAGAAATCGAAAAGTCAAAATACTGAAAAATCGGAAAGATGGAGAAATCGAAAGGTCAAGAAGTTGAACCATCGGAAAATTAAAAAATCAAAATAGGCCAAAATCGAAAAATCGGAAAATTGAGAAAAACAATTCAATTTAAAAAATCGAAAAACTTAAAATTTAAAAATCACAAAACCCATATTATCAAAAAATTGAAAATCGATAAAGTAAAGTCTAGAAATCGAGAAATCCAAAAATCAAAATACTGAAAAATCGAAAAATTGAAAAATTACAAAACTGAAATGACGAAAAATTGAAGAATTGAAAAATCGCAACCTCGAAAAGCTCGAAAAATCACAAAACCGAAAAGTCCAAAAATAAAAAAAGGGAAATCCAAACAACAAACGATCGAGAAGTCAAAAACTCCCAAAATTAAGAAATCCAATTAGGCCAAAATCTAAAAATCGAAAAGTTGAACATTGAAACATTTAAAATAAAGAAAAATCGATAAGTAAATCGAAATGTAAAAAAATTGAAAATCGAAAAATTGACAAATAGAAATATCGAAGAACTAAAATCGAAAAATCTCGTAATCGAAAAACCTAAAATTTAAAAAAATGAAAAGCTGAAAAATGTACAAATTAAAAAGTTGTAATTGAAAAATCGAAAAACTGAGGAACTGAATAACTGAAAAAACGAAAACATTGAAAAATCAAAAAATCTATTAATATAGAAATTGGAAATTCTAAAACTTGAAAATTTGTGAGTGTAAAAATTGAAAAATCGTAAAACTCGCGATAATTCATTGGACGTTTGTGGAAAGCCGCTAATAGGTTTATCGAAAAAATGGAAGTCCAAGGTTTCTTCTAAATTTGACGTCTACCAGAAAAAGCCTTTAGGTAATTTTCGAAAATCGTAGTAAAAATGTCGAAATTTTCCTATTAAAAAATTTTTGAAATAGGTTTCTAAAAATGCACAAAAAATTCAGGGAAATAAATCTCGACATACTGATTCCAAAGATGTGAAAATACTAAATATTCAATTTAAAATTCAATTTTTTTTTAATCCTAAAAGTTGCCATATTTCAAAGGGGGATTCTGGAAAAATGGTGGGAGGTTTTATAGAAGTGAGGGAAGTAACTTCTGGAGGTCGAAATCTACAAGAACATGTCTTTGGACAATTTTCTAAAATCGTTGGAAAAGGGTTAAAATTTTCATAAAGGGGAAATATTGAAAATCTGAGCTTTAAAATGGTTGCTCAAAAAAACAGGGGTATAGATTTCAACGTACTGATTCGAAAAATATAGCGTGTTTATGGCCCTGAGCCAAATTTTAGGAATTTTCGGTTTGGAAGTCATTTTTTTTTTAAATCTTAAAAATTGTTACAATTAATTGGACTATTTTAGCCAAATGGTAAGAGTTTTATCGAAGAAATGGCGCTGAAATTTTTTTCTGAGGTCATAATTCACAAAAAAATGTAATTTTTGAAAATCGTCGAAAAATATTGAAAATTTGGACTATTTCAGCATGAATCATATTTTTTTCGTTTTATTTCAATACCATAAGTTGCTATAAAATAAATAAAGAAGATGTATTCTATTTTACAATCATAATCTTGTTTATTAACACACAAATGCGGGCATAAATTGATCTTTATGGCACAAGTCAATCAAACATTGCTAAGCAAGGATTGATTATTCATTTATATTAATTAATTGTTATTCAAACAAGCCTGGATATTCAACACTTTTATTAAAGTTGGGAAAGTAATATTTCATCAAATCATTTCCTGGCCGACTTCAAATTCTTCTAAAATTTCTTTTGTATGTACCTCGGGCATAATTGTCGATTTTGGCCCTCGGGAAATTAAAAGCCCTCCTTCGTCGGTCTTGAAACATTGCCTCGTGCCATAATCTCCCTAATTATGCCCTTTATACATAAATAACTATTAGCAGTTTTTTAATTCTCTACAATGTTTGTATTTAAAGTTTTGCTGCACCATTCAAGCTGTTTCACATTGTTCTTTCGCAAAATTCAAATGAGCCAGTTTTTTTGGAATGTTATTAATTATTACTGACAGCAACCCCTTTACTCTTATAATTTCCACAATATGGAAGATCCATTTCAAAAGACTCGACGGTCTTCAAATAAACTTCGTCTTGTTTACCCGGAACGATATTCGTCACTTCGAAAACATTCCACGGAAAAACCAACAGTTCTTCCTCCTCCGGAAACATCGACAAGTTCTTAATACCGCAAGCAGCCCTGGGACTTCCTTGATAAATTAATAGAGTTCCCTTAGGTCCGAGAAAATTATCAGCCACGGCTTTCTTAGGTGTGCACGACATAAACTGTTTCGAAAAAATGTGCTGACCCATTTTCAGACTTCTCACCTTTTGCTTCATTCCGCGATAATATATTTCTGTTGTCACAGGAGGAACGTTATCAATGTCGTGGATCGAACGAGCTAACAAAGCATAGAGGCTTTTGTAGGGAAACTTCTCCCATGACTTATCACTATCCATTTTTCTGCATCTTTCATTAAAATCTTTATAAAGATTTGAATTTGAGGTGTAGGCAATGATGGCGATATGACATTCCTTTGGAAGTTCGGTTTTTACTGATTTTTCGTATACTGCTTCAGCTTGTGTCATTTCGTCGTTAAGGAGTGTGTTAGTAGAACGTTCTTTCTTCAGAAGATCCAAGATGGTGGAATAATCGGCCGAGATTAGTCCTTTTACGTATTTGTGAGCGAAATAACTTGAGAAGGTTTCTCCGGGTTTGACGCTCTTGAAAGCTTCTTCTGGATCTACGAAACGGAGGGTTGTTCTTGACGACATTTTTAAGGTTGTGTTATCTGTACAGTAAAATAATACTGATGTGTAGGAAGGTACGGTACGCTGTATTTATTACAGTTCTTATCACAGGAATGTTAACAAACCAAAGAGGAAAATTTTATTTTTAATATTTACTCAAACTATGAATAAGTTAACGTGTTTCCTGGGTGTTTCATTTTCACGTGAGTTGTTTGTTAACAGAGAGTGGGGAAATCCACATTTATAAAAATTGTTTTAAGAAAATTTCATAAATTTCTTTTATCATGAGAATCATGACATTCTAACATCAGCCAAGATTTTACACTACAAATATACGCAACGATAATAATAATTTAAATAAAGATGAACAAAATTGAAATTTTTGCAGATTTTAGAGGTCCTAAAGCTGTCGTAGCTTTTGCTAGATTTTAAAGATTGTGCAGTTTAATCAGAATTAATTAGTTATACAAGTCTAATTATTCTAAAAATATACCGAAAGTTTTCATTTCCTGAAGATTTTAAGATTCAGAAGATTTTAGGAATTTCAAGACTCAAACGATCCTAGCGATCTCAAAGAACTCAAAAAATGATACCGAATAATCTAAACATTCCACAAATCGTCGAGATTATGAAGATGTGTAAAGATCTCAAACGGCCCCAAAAATATCTTAAATTATTATAGCGGACTGATAAAAAATTGACGAATCCTGAATGAAATCCTAAATGTGCTGAAAATTGTAAACATTACAAAGATTTTGAATCTTAAAGACTCTAAAAATTACAAGGTCTTAAAAAAACGAGAAATACTAATGATTCTCATCATTATCATAAATATTCCAATCATTAGTAAATTTCAAAAATTGTAAAGATTATTAAAATTCTAAATATTGCAAAATTTGTGAAAACCTTAAAGATCTTGAAAATAATAATCATCCTAGACATCCTAAGCATTATACAAATTTTCTTAAAACCTTTGAAGATTCTAAAATCGACCCTAAGAAATTCATAAAAATTCTAAAACATATTTAAGGTCCGAAAAACATGAAAGATCGCAACATACTAGAATTTGTACAGATCCGGAGTATCCTAGAGACTTCAAGGATTCTAAAGATTTTAAAGATTCCAAATGTCTAAAGATTCTAGAGATTCTACAGCTGGTACAGACCCAAAAGTACTAAGAGATTCATGCAAGAGATTCCAGAATTTCTAGAGATTCTAAAAAAGTACTAAGAGATGCAAGCAAGAGATTCATGCAAGAGATTCCAGAATTTCTAGAGATTCTAAAGATACTACAAATCTAGCGATTTTAGAGATTCTATATATTTTAGGAACCATAAAGCTTCTAGGCAGCACCATAACTTTCTAAATTTTCAAAGATTTCGATATTCTAAAAGATTCTACTTATTCTGAAGATGCAAAAATGCTAGAAATTCGTAAAAATTTCAAACTTCTACTAAATACTGACACTAGAAATCCGAAAGAACCCGAAGAATTCAACCAGAGCAAGATTCCAAAAATTCCATAATTTCCGAACCTTACGTTATCATTTTCAGATTCCTAATATTTCAACGACTTCAGCATTCCGAAAATTCCAAAGATACTGGAGATTCTGAAGATTCTAGAAATTCCAGAGATTCTGGAGATTCTGGAGAATCTAGAGATTGTGGAGTTTCTTTAGATTCTGGGAATTCTGGAAATTATAGAAATTCTAGAGATTCCAGAGATTTCATGGATTTTAAAGAATCCAAAGATTATAAATATTTTAAACATGAAGATTCTAGAGCTTCTAGATATTCTAAAGATTCCAGATATTCTATAGATTCTAGAGATTTTACTATTTTGAAGATACTAGAGATTCTAGAGTTTCTAGAAATCCTATACATTCGAAGGTTTCTAGAAATTATAGATATACCATAGATTTTAAAATTTTAAAAAATTTCAAATATTCCAAAAGGTTTTGAAGATTCTTAAAATTCTAAAGGTTTCAAAGAGCTAAAGAAGTTTCTGAAAATTCTGAAGATTCAGAAAATACTAAAAATTGTGAAGATTCTAGAGTTTTTACTATATTTTGGTGATTCTAGAGATTCTAGGAATTCTAGGGTTTCTAGAAATTCTGAGGGTATCATAGATTTTAAAATTTTCAAAAATTCCAAATATTCAAAAAGATCCTGAGATTCTGAGGATCAGAAAATACTAAAGATTGTGCAGATTTTAGACATTCTAGAGATTTTACTATTTTGGAGATTGTAGAGAAATTTCCAAAATTCCAAATATTTCAGAAGATTCTGAAGATTTTCGAAATTCTAAAGATTCCAAAGATTCTAAAGATTCTAAAGATTATAAAGATTCGAAAGATTATAAAGATTCTAAAGATTCTAAAGATTCTAAAGATTCTAAAGATTCTGAAGATTTTGAAGATTCTGAAGATTCTGAAGTTTCTGAAGATTCTGAAGTTTCTGAAGATTCTGAAGATTCTGAAGATTCTGAAGATTCTGAAGATTCTGAAGATTCTGAAGATTCTGAAGATTCTGAAGATTCTGAAGATTCTGAAGATTCTGAAGATTCTGAAGATTCTGAAGATCCTGAAGATTCTGAAGATTCTGAAGATTCTGAAGATTCTAGATTCTGAAGATTCTGAAGATTCTGAAGATTCTGAAGATTCTGAAGATTCTGAAGATTCTGAAGATTCTGAAGATTCTGAAGATTCTGAAGATTCTGAAGATTCTGAAGATTCTGAAGATTCTGAAGATTCTGAAGATTCTGAAGATTCTGAAGATTCTGAAGATTCTGAAGATTCTAAAGATTCTAAAGATTCTAAAAATTTTAAAGATTCTAAAGGTTCTAGAGATTCTAGAAATTCTAAAGAGAGCTTCTAGAAGTTGTAGAGATTCTAGAGATTCTAGAGGTTCTAGAAATTCTAGCGATCTTAGAGTTTCTAGAGATTGTACAATGTAGACATTTTAGAGATCCTAGAAATCCTAGAGATTCTGGAAATCGTAGAGGTCCTACGGCTCATAGAGGTCCTAGAAGTCCTAGAGACACTAGATACCTTGATATCCTAGAGACTCAAAGGATCCTAGAGTTCCTAAATATCCTAGAGATCCTAAAGATCCTAAAGATACTAAAGATATTAGAAATCCTAAAGGTCCTAGACTTTCTAAAGATCTTAGATATCCTAAAGATCCTAGAAATTCTTAAAATTCTAAATAGCTTTAAAATTCTGAAAATTTCTAAAATTCTACATATTATTCCAAAGATTCCAAAAATATCGAAGATTCTAAAGATTCTATGTATTCTATAGATTATAAAGATCGTAAATATTCCAAATATTTTGAATATTTATAAGATTGCGAAGATTGCGACAATTCCAAATACTTTGAACATTCCAAAGGTTGTGAAGTTCCAAAAGATCCTGAAGATTCGGAAGGTTCAGAAAATAGTGAAAATTGTGCATGCTAGCTAGAATATCTAATTCTAGAGATTTTAGAGATTTTACGATTTTGGAGATTCTAGAGATTCTAGAAATTCTAGAGGTACCATAGATTTTAAAATTTTCAAGGATTCCAAATATTCCAAAAGATTCTAATCACTCCGAAGATGCTAAAAATGCTACAAATCCCAAAAATGGAAAGATTGTCAAATGGCAAACATCAGAGCGATAGTAAAGAATCGAAAAAACCCGAAGAAATGAACAAATTCCAAAATTAAGATTCCAAAAATTCCAAAATTTATCTCATCATTTTGAGATGTCTGAAGGCTTGTAAAATTCCTAGTAATTCAACGACTCCAGCATCCAAGAATGTTTAAAAATCCGGAAAATTCTAAACGTTCCAAAGATTCTAGAGATCCTAAAGATACTACAGATCTAACACATTTTGAAGTTTTCGAGGTTCTTAATCATCTTAAAAATCTTAAGATATTAAAGATCCTAATGATCCTAAAAACCTAAAGACGCCAAAGATCCCAAAGATTCCAAAGATTCCGAATACTCCAAAGATACTGATGATTCTATAGTTTATAAAGATTTTGAAAATTCTGAAGATTCTGAGGGTTCATAAGATTCCGAAGATAATTCCAGAGACCAGAGACTCAAGCAAGTGTAGTGAGTCAAGGGACTCAACTGATTCAAAAGATTCAAAAAATTCAAGAGTTTCAAGATTTTCAAGCAATTCAAGAGATTCTAGAAAGCCAAGAGATTTCGAATTTCAGAAATTCCAGCGAATCCATAGATGGCAAAAAATCCAAATTACAGAGAATCCAGAGATTACAGAAATTCTAGAGATTCTGGAGTTTTTAGAGATTCTAAGTGCTTCAAGGATTTTAGGGATTCCAAACATCCCAAAGATTTTAAAGTTTGTAAAGATCCTAAAGATTTTGAAGATTCTGAACATTCCGAAGATTCTGGAAATTCCTGTTTAAGATTGATTGACTGATTGTTTAGAGATTCTAGAGATTCTAGACATTCCAGAAACCCCTCAAGTGTTCCAAAAATTCCAAAGATTCTAGAGATCCGATATATTCTAGAGAGTATAAACCTTCTAGAGATTCCAGGAATTATAAAATTTTCAAAAATTTTAAAAGATTCTAACAGTGCAAATCCTATGAATTAAAAAATCATAGAGCTTAGAATGTTTCCAAAGGTTCAGAAATTTTTGAAATCTTTGAAGTCAGAAATATTTCCAAAATTTAAAATATTTCAGTTATCTAAAAATCTAATCTCAGAAATCAAGAAATCTGATTTACTTCAATAACTACAATAACATTAGGCAATTAAATAAGAAGTTCAACAATTTTAGGAGTCCTCACTGTCTTAAAATTGGTAGGTATAAATTTATATTGTAATAATGTAATTAAACGCACTTTCTTGGAGATTCATTAAAACAAATGTATTAAATTTGGAAAAGCCAGCAATTAATTCCACAATGAAATTAAGTGAACACATAATTTTGAAATTTTCAACCGAAAAACGACACGCCACTGAAACGCAGAAATCTCAATTTAATCCTGGTATCGCCATCTATGAGTGGGTAGACGTAACACGCAGAGACACCTACATCGAAGATAACTCATGTATATTTCCATGCGCAAACACAAACAGTGCACATTCTGATTTCTTATCACATCACAGCCAGTCAGTAAACAATTAACATTCCTTCAACGCAACAACAAAATTTAATTCGGTAAGAAAATAACCACAACCATTTTATCAACCAATAACCTTGCCATTTCTACGATTTTATAGCACTAACCCAACATAAAAATGTTCACTGATCCTGATTGGTTAACGTCATCACCCAAATGGACCGACGACCACAAACCCATCCTTCTGGACAACCCCATCGACCCAACCCCCACCGTCACCCTCTCGCAGCTAATCGAAAAAAGCTCCCAATTCCCCGTGGACTTCCCCGTCGAATCAATCCGGTGCTGCCAACTCAAAAAAATCACAACTAAAGAAACCCTAGAAAAGAACATCAACTCAGCGTACCCCGTAATGCACGAGCATGCGCTTTACTTGTGCTCTGTTTTCCTCCTCCACCAACGAAAATTCGGCCAAAGGTGCGATTTCTACAAGAACATGACCCTCCTCCAGTTCATTGATAGGTTGCTGGGGAAAAGAGCGGCCATGTTTGTGGGACGCGTCGACCACTACATGCTCCTGAATGGTAAAACGGGTACGGGAAACTGGGAAAAAATTGGGACTCCGAGTGAATCGCCTCCTCTTATTTTGGAGGACTGCTTGAGCTACGACGAAATTAAACTGTCGGCTTTGTTATCGGTGTCGTCGTTTAGTTATTTTGTCAATGATGGGGATAGGAATAACGGGGGGAGGTTCGAGGAGGAGAGAGACAAAGTGGAGGACAATGGGGTGATCGTGGGGGTGATTGGAGCACGTTTGGAGAAGTCCCGGGTTATGGAATATCGAGAGGTAGTTAAAACGAAGGACCAGAATACTAGCTGGTTGGGTTATGGAACTTCAGAAGTACCAACGCTCCAGGGGGAATTTATGAAGTTCTATGGGACTTTGAGTGATACTTATGAACAGTTTTTGGAGATGAAGGGGACAAATCCCCGTAGATATATTCATTTAGGTGAGTTAAATGTCAGTAGAATATAAATTATTATTTCCTTCAAGGTAGAGAAAAATATTTCGATAAACTGGTCTTCCAAAGACGATTATCCCTCTCCATTGACACCCTCCTGATCGAAGCCAACCACCGCGCCAAGACCGAAAACAAAATGGCGTACATCCACGTGGTGGGTTTAGGGTTAGGAGTGTGGAAACTTTCTTCGCAACAAGACCAACTCTTCATGGACACTTTCGCCGAACGACTGGAGTAACAAAAGTCAACCAAACAATCAATCAATTCAACGACCTGTTTCAGATTGTTGTCCGACACCTTAACCAACATCAGCGACGTTCGTTTTGCCTACATCCCCCATAAATCCGCCAAAAACTACAAACACGGTGACCAAATTAGACAGATTAAGTTGCACATGGTCAATCGAAATCCGCAAGAGAAATTGACAGGTAGCGACGAAGGCAAATTGTTGGTGGTTTCGTACCCATGGGATGGCAACGCTTTGCCTGGCAATGAGTTTTGGGGTGGGAGTTTGAGTGGTAGTGGCGACCCTGCGGCTGCTTGCTCGTCGCAGGTGGCAGAACTGCACAATTGGCACATAAATTCCAAAGTTAGTGCTAGTAATTTGAGGGTTGCTACCTTTAAGGGGTTGGTGACTTTAAAGGAGTATCAAGAGTTGCACAAAAATGATTAGAGTTTCTTGTTGTTGAATAAATTGTTGAGGTTGTGTTTGTTTTGGGAATGAATTTTCTGTGTTATTGAAGTGCTATCGATGAGCTAGAGGAGGTGACGAAATGTTATAAAAGTGTATATGAATATGAATAATAAGTGATTAATAAAGAATTTTAGTGTTTTATTATGTTTAGAACCATTTGTTACGTATTTTGTACATTATAGGCGGCTTGTGCTCTGCCTCTAGAATCTGAGGAACTTATGGAATGTCTAGATTCTCTGGACTCTCTAAGATCTCCGGAATTTTTAGAAGCTTTATAATAACTAAAATATATAGAATCGCTACAATCACTAGAGTTCTAGAATCTAGTGAGATATACTAAAAATTCTAATCTAGTTTCTCTAGAATTACTGGAATTTATGGATCACCTCAATGATATCTTGAATCTCTAGAATCCCCAAATTCTTTGGAAGTTCTAGAAATTTTAGCACAAAAATACGTAGAATCCCTTGAGTCAGCAGGTTTTTAGTACCTCTAGAATCTTTGGAATTTCTAAAATCTGTGGAGACTCTGGATGCTTTTGAATCTTTTCAAGCTCTTGAACTTTTCGTACCTTCAGAATCTCTAGAATCTCTAGATCCCTGCAGAAGCTTTATAATCCCCAAAATATTTAGAATCTCTAGAATCATTAGATTTACTTAATTTTTAGGATATTTTCTGTAATTGGGCCTCGGCCTGTTGAAAAATTGATTAATAAAATAAAATAAGTAAAAAATTTAGAATACCGAAAGCCTACATAAACTGTAGAGGCCGTAGATTTCTAGAATCTTTAGTATCCCTAGAATCTCGAGAGTATTTAGTATTTGTTGAATGTCTAGAATCTACGGAAACTATGGAATCTCGGAAATCTCTTGAATTTCCGGAATTTCTTGAGTCCATGGAATGGCTAAGAATCTTTAAAATCTCGAGTCTCTAAAATCTCTGGAATCTCTAGAATCTAGAGAGTCCCTAGAAGTTTAATTATCCCTAAAATATACACACAGAATCTCTGTGGAATCTCTGAAATCTTTCAAATTTCTTTAATCTCTGGGATCTTTGGAATCTGTGCAATCTGTGGAATTTCTTGAAGCTCCTGAATATTTAGAATCTCGAGAACCTTTAGAAACTTTATAATTCTTAAAATATACAGGATCTTTGGAATTATTACATTTCTAGATTTTTTTTGAATCTCGGGAAACTCTGAAATTTTTAGAATATCTGGTTTCACTGGAATGTCTTGAATCTCTAGAATCTCTAGAATCTCCGAAATTTCTAAGAGTTTTATAATAACATTAATAAATAAAATATCTAGACCCGATTTATAGAAAGCGATGTTAAAGTTAATTCGCGATTAACTTTTAACTGAGGTTCGTTGCCAGGCAACGTACATATTTTAACCAATCACGGGCTCATATTCCACATTTTAATTCTGTGTTAAACTAATCGAGGATTAAATATTTAACTCGCTGTTCTATAAACAGGCCCCTAGAATCACTAGTTTCTAGAACCTGGTGAGAGATACTAAAGATTCTAATCTTTAGTGTATCTAGTGTCTCTCGAATCTATTCAATTTCTGCAATCTATGGAATATCTTGAAAATATAAAAACTCTAGAATTTCTAGAATTTCTAGAATTCCTAGGTTTTCGGGAACTTCTAGAAGCTTTATAATTCCTAACATACCTAGAAACTTTTGAATCAGTAGATTTCTACTATTTACCTCTAGAATCCCTAGAACCTGTAGAATCTCCGCAATTTCATGAAATTCCTGAATTTCTTCAACCCCTTGAAATTTTCGAATCTCCAGAATTTCTATATCTAATCTCTAGAGTCGTTAATATTACTAGAATTCCTAAAATCTTTAGAAGCTTTGTAATCCCTAAATATATATATAATGTCTAGAATAATTAGATTTCTAGAAATTTTAGGATCTTTAATATGTCTAAATTCTCTGGAATCGTTGGAATTTCTAAATTTTCTAGAATCCTTAGAATTTCTAAAAAAACTCTAGGTTCTCCGAAATCTTTATAATCTCTAAAGTTTATAGAACCTATGGAATCAATAGATTCTAGAATTTTTAGAATCTCTAGAAAATATAGAACGTCTAGAAGCTCCGCAATTTCTGGAATCGCTGGAATCTCTGAAGCCTCTTGAAATTCTTAAATCTCTAGAATCTTTAAAATATCTAAAATTTCTGGAATTCCTGAAATCTTTGAAATCTTCTGAATCTCTCGTATCATTAAAATCGCTAGAATTTTTAAAATCTCGAGAATTTCTAAAATCTCTGGAATCTTTAGTCTATAGAGTCTGTAGAAGTTTTATAATCCCTCAAATATATAGAATCTCTATAGTATCTGCTGAATTTCGAGGATCTGTAGAAATATTGGAATTCAATTTCCAGAATCTTTAGAATTATTGTATTTCTAGAATCTTTAGTATTTCTAAAATCTCTAGAATGATTTGAATTTCTTTGAATCTCGGGAACCTTCGAAACCTTTGGAACGTGTCGATTCTCTGGAATCTATTAAATCTCTTAAATTTCTATAATCTCTCCGGAAATTCTAGGAGATTTATAAAATTACAAACTAAAATATATAGAATCTCTAGAATCACTAGAATTCTAGAACATAGTGTGAGATACTAAAGATTTTAATATTTAGTGCATTTCTAGTGTATCTGGAATCAATTGAATTTCTGCAATCTCTAGAATCTCAAAGTTTTCCGGAATCTCTAGAAGTTTTATAATCCCTAATATACGTAGAATTTCTTGAGGCAGTAGATTTCTAGAATTTTTAGTACCTCTAGAATCTCTGGGATTTTTTAAGTCTATAATATCTATAGAATTTCTCAAATCTGTGGAATCTCTTCAACCGCTTGAATTTTTCGAATCTCTTGAATCTTTATAAACTATATATATTTATAATCTCTAGAATCGTTAGTATCACTAGAATTCCTAAAACCTTTAGAAGCTATGTAATCCCTAAAATATATATAACGTCTAGAATCATTAAATTTCTAGAATCTTTGGGATCTTTAATCTGTCGAAAATATCTGACTTCTTTGGAATGCCTGGATTCTCTAGAATTCCTGAAATTTCTAGAAAGTCTAGGTTCCCTGAAATCTCTAGTAACTTTATAATCTCTACAATATATAGAAACTGTGGAATCAGTAGATTCTAGAATTTTTATTGTCTCTTAGAAACTCGAGGATCTTTAAGACCTATAGAATGTCTAGAATCTCCGGAATCTCCGAAATCTTTTGAAATTCTTGAATCTCTAGAATATTTAGAATTTCTAGAATCTCTAGATGCTCTATAATTTCCGGGAACTCTAGAAACTTTATAATCCCTACAATATATAGAATCTCTAGAATCACTAGATTTCTATAATCCTTAAAATATCTACAATCTCTAGAATTTCTGAAATTTTTAGAATCTTTTGAATTTCTTAAAATATATGGAGTCTCTATAGTATCTCTAGAAACTTTAGAACCTTTCGAACTTCCAAAATCTCTGAAATTTCTTTAATCCCTGGAATCTCTTGAATTTTTCGAATTCCTAGACTCTCGAGACTCTCTAGAATCTGTAAAAGGATTATGATCTCTATGATCTTCTGGATTTCAACGAATTCTGGAATGATGGAGCCTTTTATACTTTTGAAACCTGTGTTTATACGGTTTTTAGGAATTTCTTAAAGTGATGACTTTAAGATGCTTAGGATCTTTTTGCGTCTTTAGAATAATTAATGTTTTTTGAGATGCTAAAAATGTTTAGAGCTTTTAGGATTTTAGAATATTTGAGCTTTGGAATCTTCGAATCTATTAATATACTTACTTAGAATTTTTAAAACCGGTGAAATGTTTATAATCCTTTTATCTGTTAATGTTTAGGGCCTTTGTGATCTTTTACATCTTTGAGATCTTTATGTTTGTAAGATCTTTAGGGTGATTGATGTCGTCACTATCTTTATAATCTCTATCTTCAAGCTATTTTAAGATATTTAGAATCTTCAAAATTTTTGAATTTCACAAATGTTTGGAATCGTTGCAGTAATTAGAATGTTTAGGATTTCTACTTTTTTAAGAGTTTCTAATTTTTAGAATATTTAAGACTTTTATTTAGGAATCTTCATTCTTTAAAGCCTCTAGATAGCTGCTTACGGTATTGTCATGTTGTCGGCTTTTCCAGTGGAGGAGGAAATACTGGTTTTTTAAAGTGGAGGAGATTATTCTGGGTTCAAATATAGATCACGTTATTTTCGAGAGTATTTTGTTAAGGATTTACCGTGTTCGGGGAAATTTGTCAAAATCAGTCTACAATATTTGAAAAAGCAATTTCAATGTTTTGCTACGTAAATACTATTTTAAACTTGTAATGAGATTGATGAATATGGTAATCGCTAATTAGTATTCATCATTACATAAACATGATGTCATGTCAGTTTTTTTCACGATGTTGAAACATCTTTCTTTGTTTGTTGTTTAATAATGTACCCATGTTGTTAATGATATTTATTAAGGTTATCATAAAACAATTAAAATTATTATCTTAGAATTTGGCAAACGAAAAATGGTAAAAATTTACTTATTCATTGTCCACACAAATTAGTAGCTTTATATCAAAAAGTTAGAACCGTTCGTGCAAGAATATAAACAATTTTTCAAAATTTTGGGAAGATTGCACCATTTTTTTATTTTAACGTAAAATATGAACAGTTTACAAGACATTTGCACTTTTATATAGAAAATGGGCTTATACAGGCTGCCCAAAAAATGACGCACCAATTCCGTAACAGGTTGCTCAGGACTGTTATAAAATATTGACTTTTTTTTAATGATTTTTCTCGAACTTAGATTTGAGAACTTAATAATGTACCGTTGAGTTGCTGAGAACAATTTTTGGACACCCTGCACGTTCAAATATTTACCTCCCCACCATCGCTGGAAAACATATAGATCTTTTGAATCAGTAGATTTATACAATATTTAGTACCTCTAGAATCTCTAGGATCTTTAAAACCTATAGAATACTAATTTCTTGAATCTGTGGAATCTCTGGAATCTCTTGGATTTTTCGAATTTCCAAAATTTCTATAGTCTTTAGACTCGTTAGTATCTCCAGAATTCCTAAAATCTTTACAAGCTTTAC